GTGCTATCAATAAGCGTGTAACTACAAAAATTTGCGTTTTAAACCAACACTGTGGGCGTCATTGTGTCTTCCTTTTCTTCCTTTCAGATTCTCACCAACCTAGCGGTATGAACGTCTTAAAGAACACTCTTCAGGTGGGTCATGTCTTCCAGTCCTGCCTTAGTGAATTCACAGTCACGGAAAACATACGAAAGCCTTCAAAGTGTTAGAAACCACCAGATTTTACCTCCTTTTTGTGCCAAGAAGGCGTCATTGTATAAGTGTAAGCCACATTATACTTCTAGTAAGCACTTTGGTTAGCTCCTTTGTTTGTGTGCCTCTCTGGCCAGGACGAAGGGTTGCTAAGTCGATTTAAGTACTATTGTCAAAGGACAGTGTTATTTCGACGAAATAAATCGTTGAATGGATGTAAGAAATGCCTTTTTGAGGGCAAAGCATTGAAGCATGGATATATTCCAAGCGATATAAAGGATGGGGGAAAGGAGGCGGACCCCTTCTGCATGTCATGGCGTAGCAAAGTTGTCAAAAACAATTGTGACTTGCTGAGATGATGTGCTTTTGTCAATCATCTTTCAATGCAGGTAAATCAAAACCGAAGTATGGAATTGGGAGGAATCTCCAGTTTGAGTGCTCCTGTCAATTCCATCTCTCGGCCGCAATCACTCTCTGTACACGATCTTCGCTCTCTCGATGGTACGCACATGCCTACTGAAATGGATTTAAGCAGCATTCGGAGGGCGCGGTATCGGGCTCGGAAAAATCGTCGTCTTGACGATAGTGTTCTGCGACCACTTGTCGCAGGTTAATTGAAGCTCTCTTTACTTACGTTTTCTGCCATTATTTAATCTGCTATCGCTTGAGTGTCTGCATTCTAACCATTTGTCGCATTTACATAAACAAACGAGGGCGCTCACTTTATTGTGACTCCTTTTCTTCCCAACTGGGACGTTTGTTGTAAACCCTTCTGCCTTTTACGTATACACTCCCACATTTCACACTCGTCCCTGACTCAGCATAAGACTCTACCCTATTTTACGGCTTTCCTTCAAAGTCAAAATTGACTACCAACTTCCTCCTGTCAAGCCTCTTAAGGAGCAAAGTGACGTAAATCAGTGACAGATTGTAAAATGGGCAGTGGAGCTTGTGTGCATGATTGTTTAGTGAGTTTACGATCACTTCACTGTGCAACAGAATCACAGTAATCTCAAGGCCCTCATCATCTCCCATCAAGGGGTCCTGGGATTGTGCGGTGGAGCACAACAGACAAAATGTTTTTCTTTTGTGAGTCACTTCACTTAACTGATCCTCTAAGTTGTAATCCGTTTTGACATGATAAATTGC